TGGAAATAACGGATAATTTTTCATTTCAATAACAGTGTGTCCGTAATGTTAATTCCGTAGACTAAAAAATGTGCCTATTGCTGAAATAAAAAGTGCAGGATTGATTGACTAGATATACAAACAACCATTGGAGGTATTTTAATTCTCCTTTTGTACTTATAATCAAAATTCGAAGTAATTAGCTTACACTTAAAATTTTATTTTGTTCAATTAAAAATCGTTTTAATAAATATAGATAATTTTTTTAAAAAATTATATAAAAAGTGAAATTTTAAAAAAATAACAAGAAGAAGATAAACAATATTTTTTTATCATTCACTGCACAAAGATTTTGAATACAAATAAATACCTCTTAAAAGGCGGGGATTATTGTGGTTGTTTTTTTAAATCTAAAAAAAAAAGTGCATTTTTAAAAATAAAGACGATGATTTAAATATGGAAACGCATTTCTTGATCCTACAAAAATGATCTGTGAACTGCTGGAAAAGACCCTACTAATCAGAGGCTATATTTAAATCGAAATTCGGATTTTTTTTCTTCATTTCATGCCATTGTATTTTTACACAAATAAGGAAAAGGGAAAAAAAAAAGCAAAAAGTGATTAAGTTTGTTATTCGATTTTTTCCTCACTGCTTTTAAATTCAACGAGAGAAGAAGAAAAAAAGGAATTTTGTAATAATGTTGTTATGTTGTCAAAACCAACAAGTAGTTGCTATAAAATTGCGAAAAGAGAAGCGACATTCATTAGAAATATCTAATTTTTTACTTTAGTTTATTTTCTAAAACTAATCTTCGTTTTTTCTTTATGTCATCATCATTTTTATAAGATGAAAATAAAGAATAACATGATTTACTTTTCTAAGTTTAAGAAATAAGCATAAAATTTAATAATACAGAAATAAACAACTAAAAACATAAAAATAAGTTTAAAGAAAAAAATTACTTGCCTTTCTTGAATTTTGTCGGTATTTCTTTAAAAAAAAAAAAAGTATTTTTAAAAACCCTAGCGTCTGTATTTGTAGCACTAAAATAAACAAGTGCTTAATTAAAGGAAAAAAAATTTAAAAACAGGTAAGTTTGTTGGAAATGTATCTCTGTTTTGATTCCTCCTTCTTTAGTCGGAAAAATGCTGGCAAAAAAGCCAATAAAAAGTAATAAAGTAGTTAACAACAATCGTAACCACACCTCGTTAAACGTCCACGGCTGCTACTATGATTTTACTTACCGGCAAAAATGCCTTTTTTTCAACTCTACTCAATCACAGAAGGCGTGACGTTCCTATATTTTCTGCTATGGATCGCCAGTTGGATAACAAAACAATTTGCTCCTGCTCCCGATGAGACGAGGAGTTATTTTTGTTTTCTTCAACCAACCAAGGATTTTCTTCTTCCCAGTCATTGACCAGACAACGACGCAAATCTTAATTCGTAGTGAGTGTTAGTGATGTCTCAACGGGGGTAGGGTGACGCTGTAGTAGTTCCAGGAATGCTCGCAGACACTAATACTAAAAACCAAAAAAATAAGAAAAAATATTAATAAGTGCTACTTTAATGTCTTTAGCATCACCACAACAAAGCTATTTTAAACGGTTTAACAGAATTTCAGCAGGATAAGGATTTTCTTTCTGTTTTTCTTTTTTGTTCTTCTCAAAATATTGATAACATCAACTCATTCTCTCCCCGTACTGAAATGGTTGACTTAAAAAAAAAATAAATAAATAAATCAACACTTATTTCAAACCCTGACTAACGAACGATAACTCTATATTTTTATTGATTATAAAATTTTGTTGACAAATGACAAAAACGTTATATTCTAAAAAGTAAAAACCAAAGAAAATGTAAAAAGCTGTTATTTATTTCTTTAGAAAAATGGCGATTTGAATAAAACAAGTCAAGTGTTTATATTTTCTTAGAAAAAGTAGTTTTGCTTTTTTCTTCTCAGATTCGAAGTACTCTGAACCCCCAAAAAACAAAATTTAAAAAGATTTTCATTTCATATTCAAAAAAAAAAAACTTAAAGATCTTAAAAAAATTTTAAAAAACTGTATTTAATTTTCTTAATAATAATCGAAACAAGTATCCTGTAATTGTAAAAATAAAAAAAAGTGTAAAAAAAACACATCGAAAGAAATTTTCGACAAAAAATAATTTAATTTAAAATTGTCACGGATTTAAAATGTTATGTTCATTTTTAAAAAAAATAATAATAATCATTTTTTTAAATGAACATGTGAATTTTTTTTCCTAAAGTGAAAATAAAAACTATTTTCTGAGTAAGACTAGTAAAAAACTTGATATTGTATTATATTCATAGGAAAATGAATGGTAACTAAAAAAGTGTGTATTTTTCTTGAGACCGTCCACCCACCTAAAACCCCAACTTTTCAGTTATCTTTTTAAAAAAAAAAAAAAAAAAAAAAACAAACAATATTAACCACGGTGTGGATGCATTGCCATGGCACATTAAAGGTAGTCGCGCAAAAAGCAGTTCTATTCTTCCTGGGCGCCTCACATTTGAAATTATGACCTTTTTATTTTAATGTCTTTAATTAATTGGGCTAAGCTTAAATGCCTAATGTTGACCAGATAGTGAAAAATTTGTCTCCCAGAAATCGCTTTTTTTTCTCTCTCTCCGTTTCTCTCTTTTTCGCTCCTCATCGCCCTCCCCCCACAAAAAAAAATTCGGACCAACTATTTCGATCCCCTCACTCACAAAAATCATGAGACGATGATGAGCATGTACACGCCCAATGAAATATCCAAATTCTGCGTCATTTCATAGAAATAACTAAGTTTGGGAAAAAAATGCTTCAAAACTTGCAATCTCTCTCTCTCTCTCTCTACGTATTATTATGCGTCTTCGGGATGTGGGCGAAAATAGCTTTTCACATATTCCAATGTTTAAATGGTAAAATAAAATCTGTTTGCAAGCTTTCATTTGAGTGCATTTCTATTGCTGAGCCCGTTTTGTTTGCTGCTATAAGAAGTGTGAGCCGAGAGTGGGAGTACAATCGACTCACAGCTGATCATCAGCCTATTCAGTCCCCGACAGTCTCTAGTGATATGTTATTTGTATTTCTATGCTTAACATTTCTATGCATGTGCACCCGATTCCTATAAACACACACATACATTCTCCTTCATTAAAAAAAAAAAAACAAAAACAAAAAACATTTTTTTTTCGTTTTTCTTTATTTTCACTGTCTATAGAGTGTAGGCATGTATGTACGTTTTTTATTCCCAGTAGATTTGATCAATTCCCGCGTAAAACTCAATTTATATTCCAGTTCTCCCACGACCCCAGACTGTCTATCTCTTCCCTTTTTTCCTTTTTCTTTATAAGTCTTTATAAAACTGCCAGAATTGGTGTGTTTTTTTTCCGAAATGAAAGCAATAAACGCTACACCCTGTTTTAAAAAATTTACCAAAATATTATGAATTATCTGATTTAAATGAAATTTTCAGTACTTGTTCATTAATGAATGAATTAGGTTCTCTAACTTTGTAGAAATATTTTTTCGCGGTCAGTCACCTGCTGTTTCGATAAATCGTGAATATTTTTTTTTTTTTTTTAAATTGGGAAATATTCTTTATAGTTTTAAGAAAACTCCCTGGAGATATTATTTAATTTAAAATGCGTTTTTCGTCTGTTTTTAGGAAGTCCATGACAGTACCTATTAAGTTATTAAATAAATTGTCTCGATCAAGGCAATCCATATACCAAGCCTACGGGCTCGGATACCCCACTTTAAACTCGACCTTGTGCCACATCTTGCTGCGTGGGTCAGCGAGTAAATAATTATACCAGGCCTTGCAACCGTGCGACTGGGATCCATGACTGGAGGCGGGCTTTTGGAAACCTAAATTACTACTAAATAACAATTCCTGAGAATATTTTTAACAAGGAACTTGTTAGTAATGTCCAGTAATTAGTTAATTAACAACTAGGAAGCATCTTACAGTTATTGACTTATTTCCATAAATGCAAATGTACAAAGAATAAAAAATACCATAAAATAACTAAATGCACAAAAATCACTTTATTCACCATAAATTTGATATTTTTAGATAATATTGCAAAAATGATTTGTTTGTGCAAACTGATTACAGAAAATATAATTGTATAATACAATCAGAAAGCAATTTCGGCATTTTATAAAATCGTGTATCAAAAATGTCTGAAAATACTTTACAAAAGATGTGAATTTCAGAGAAATAAAAATTTTGATAATCTTTACAAAATTTATTGAGATTTCTGTTACATATACAATTTGTTTTACAGAAAATGAAGAAAATACTTATTTTGCTATGATACAATAATAGATATTACCAGTACACATAGTTTTAAGAATTAAAATCAATGTATATTAACAAGAACATAAAATTAATTAACAGGATAATTTGGGGAGTTAATCAACTACATATATGTAAAAAGACGGAAAATTGAAAATAAAAAATATCTGGTGTCACTGTGGTATCCAGGGGAATTTTAAAATTAAAACAATATATTTCTTTCAAAAAAAGTTCTTGAAAATAAAAACTAATATTATTAAATATTTCCTCTTCTGTGGGACAATCTTTTCTTGTAACATAGCCTGCTATATACAAAAGTGACAGTTTAATATCTTTATGGATCCTAGTTTTAAGGTCTGGTAAATTATCAAATGTTTGGCATTCCATTTCATCCAGCAAATGTTCACATTTTGAGTAATTATGGCCTGAATCAAAATTGTATTCTTTGACTTCAACATTTAATCTAAGAAGTAGTTTTAGTTTTTTTCAGTATTTAAATTTTCCAATAGGATTTTGAACTGCTGTAAAATATGCACCTCCAGAACTTTGTATTAATTTTCCAAATTGTCTGTGATAAATTCACCACTCATAACAAAATTAAACTCACTGTTTAGCAAATATCTACAAACATCAATTATGTTCAATGACTAAACTAATACTCGTTAATGATTTTGTAGCCAAAAAGCTTTAAACTTATAGCAATCAATGCCTGAACTCTCTCTCTCTCTCTCTCTCTCTCTCTCTCTCTCTCTCTCTCTCTCGTCCACGTAGTCAGTTCAACACAGCAGTCAACCGTCTTTTCCTCACTGTTTTGTTGCCTTGTTCTTCCTGTTTATATCTATCATTGACAGCAAAAATTTGCATATGCATAAAGGTAACCTCACGAGAGAGTATCCTACTCAGAGATCTATTTTAAATACGTGACCTGCGAAGTCGCTATTTCTTTCTCCTTTGGACAGTTTACACCGCGAGGCACGTTCGAATCTTTGCTTGCGCTGGAGGTAAGTTATTTTATTCTTGAGTTTATTCTAGCATTGCAAAAAATACATGCAACCTTGGGCCTCTTTGACCTCTGTAGTAATTCACTACACTCCCTCCTGATCTCATGATCATATGAAAGGCAACCAGGGGGGAAGCCTTTTCTGTCAGGTAGAGGAGAAGGAGCAACATAAGTTTCATCTTCACATGAATCACCACTGGACGAGTCATTGGGTTCTCCTGTTGTAGACGCCGTGCTGCTGGTATCAGGAGAATCGTACAGTCGATCGCAAGTCGATTAACAGCTCACTTTCTGTTGAATCACCTTCATGTTCAGATAGATAATGCAACCCATCGAAAGGGACACAAGTCCTTCACATGCCAGGGAATTCCATCAACCTATACTGACTGCAAACTGTTAACTTTCGTTATGCGGCCTGACTTGAACTTGGTCGTACACCTCCCTTGTGGAGTTTAACCCAGATAATGTCTCCCATCTCTTATGCTTCTTGGATATTCCATGGTTCAGGTGGAGGCGTCTCGTCGATGTCCCATTTATGGACGTGATACTTATGTAGCGCATCTGCCAGTGCTGTAGACGGTGAAAAGTTGCCCTTAGGTGTGACATTATGCCAGTAGACTGCCTCTGGTATGGAGTATTGCTTTCTAGCGACAATGGTTTTAATGCTTCTCTGACTTCTTTCGGCTATACCATTCCTGGTATGTGCATAAGCACATTGGAACCGAAGCTGCACGCCCCAGTAACTGAAGTACCCACATGTGAAAGCCGTGTCATTGTCAGTTAAGATTTTGGTCAGTGAACCCCCGCTCACTCAACTTTCTTATAGTGACACACCCTAGTTGTATAGTTATAGAGGTTTGGCTCCTTCCTTGTGCAGCTTCAACCACTTCTGGGGCACTCAGGTAAGGCGGTCTTCCTGATTTAGCGCTGATTTGACCAGCTTAATATCTATTGTCAATGTATATTCATCAACCAGTGAACGAAGTGTTTCCAGCTACCATCTTAGCAACATCTCACTGGCTGCCCTCGTTTTTACACGTGCCTTCCCAGTCAAAGCGTCTGATATCCGGCGATGAACGCATGCAGAGTCGGTGACCAGGTGCATGACCGTCATCTGCCATTGAAGGGCCAGATTGATGCCTTTTATCATTGCATCAAGTTCTGCTAAATAGATATGCTTAGCATCTCCTGCCGGATACAACCAACAAGCATCCTCAACAATGCCCCCGTTCTCTTCCAATGTCACTCCTGTGGCTAACGAACTGGTGTCCACCCATACGTTCATTTTATGGCCACTCACAAACAAATTCCCATCAACAGGATCCGTCCGGCACACTGTTTTTCAGTCTTTCCGGTGTTTGACGACTGGCCCATTTCCACGCGGTAGACTAAACATTCTTCTGGTAGTAGAATTGCATACTACATTCAGGTTCGTAGATGGAAATGGCACCACACTGGAGTATATATTCTGCGGGGAAGCGGATGTCTCCCGATTTAGTGATGCACATTCTCTCGATCTCCCGGATCGTATCGATCCCTAAAAATAGATGAAATCTTAGCAATGTTCCATCCACAATTAGAACTTCAATGTTCACAGGTTGAGCACAACCAACATCCAATTTGACTGTGCCATACCCATGACACTTCAGCGATTTCCCATCGCCTTCAGCACCTTCACCTGCCAGCGTCGCCAAAGGCAACAGATCTGTTCATACAAATCTGTTCATACAGATCTGTTCATTAGTGTCTGCAAGCAGCCAGAGTCTACAAGGGTTACGCACTTCTGTTCATCTACGTTCACTTCGATGACTGGTAGTGCATCGTTCTTTACTTTTTGGGTGGAGGAGACTGGCGTTGACATCTCCTCCTCTGAACCGTTTCCCCCGGCACTCAGACGAGATGTGTCCAACTATGTTGCAATGAAAGCAATGCACTTCACGGCGCGTCTGTACACCCGGTTATCTGTTCATTCTGTGTGCGTTGAATGGATGCGGCGACTGACTCTTCAAGTTTTGGTTATCAGTCTTAATGGCCGTCTCCTGGGTTAGAAGTTGTTCCAAGGTCATAGTCTCTATTCTGGACGATGCTCTAAGCCATGCCATCTAAGATCTTGTGTGGTCCAGACACGAATGCACATGCCATCCATCGCTCAGGCAACTGCCCACCAACCAGCCGAGCCAAGCGGTGTAGCTCTGCCAAAAATTCATCGACAACTTCTCCAGTATGAAGTTGCCTCGTCATGAACCGGTCAAAAGCATTGAAGGAGTCCGTTGCGTACGCAGTCACGGGGGTTTGCTTTATCTGCTCTGCATCTGACCTCTGCTCCTTACTTAGTTGTCGGTATCTCATTCGTAACGGCAGGACACTCTCGATCCTCCCCATGTCGCACAGCTCACATACCAACTCGACGTTTTCAATCTACTCCATGATTGGTAAATTGGTGACAACACCACTAAATTCAGGGATCAATCGGATATCAAACACCTCCATCATCTTGTAGAAAAATTCGGAATTGCCGAAATAACTTGGAGCGAAAAAAAAGCTTTAAACTTATTGTAGCAATCAATGCCTGCAATCGGTTTCATCTCTTTCGTCTGCAACACTTGTAGCCTTTTCAACAAAGCAGTCAACCGCCTCACTACTTTCACCTCGGTCTCCCCATTTTTATCTAGCATTGACAGCAAAAATTTGCATATGCGCAAAGATAATCTTCCAAGAGATCTATTTTAAATATGTGAACCGCGAGGCACGTTCGAATCTTTGCTTGCGCTGGAGGTAAGTTATTCTTGAGCTTATTCTAGCATTGCAAATACATGCAACCCCGGGCCTCTTTGACTTCTGCAGTAGTTCACTACAGATTTCATTCTTTTGCCTTGCTTCCCTTCAATTCTTTTTGTCATTTTCCCAAATTTAGAAAGACATAACAGATGTTCATCATCTAAATCTGATATCACCTTTTTCAGTGGATCTTTTTCTTAGTGTCACCATATATTTATTTGACACAGATAATTTTCCCAAATTTTAAGACTTTTTCAAAGAAATTAACTGTTTCCTCAGTATCCTCCGCATTTAATAATGGTTGTGTTTTAATAGCAGCTACAGTTTGATCACAAAAAACTCTTAAACATTAGGAAACATTTTGTCGCTTAACAGGTTTTGAGTAAACTGCTACATTAGTTAGTTTCGACAGCTTAATAAAGTGAGTTTTTTTCATACTCATAAGGACATTTTATAATTTCCCGTTTTGCCTTCAGGATAAACAGTAGTTCAGAAGTAGGTTCAGTAATCCAATTATTCCAAATATTTTCAACTGCGCGGATGTAGTAGAGAACAGACATCACGTGACATGTCATCCAATCAAGTTTCAGAAACGATTTACTTGTAGCTGTGTTTGTACAGAATTGTAAAAAAAATGTTTTTCGGATCTACTGAATTTAGTAAGATTTATTTGTAGGTGTCAAGAGAATAACCCACAATTAAATATAATCAGCTGGTACAAGGCCATTGTAACTGAGCAGTAGTGTCGAATTCGCTGAAAACAACTAATATTTGTTATAGTTTTATAAAGAATTATAAAGATTAAATTGTTTAACACAAGCAAAGAAGAAAAAAGGGAAGAGATAGACAGGCTGAAGTTGAGGGAGACCTGGAATAAAAACGTAGGGAAAACTTTGTTGAAGTAGTTATGACAGAATAATGGGAGAGAGCTGGGTTTATTACCCGGCGTCCCCAAAAGGATAAATGTCAAGAGGGCTTGAATAATTTTCCCACGGTATTGCCCTTTAGCGTTCAACTTCAGTTTTAAATTTCTTCTCAACAAATCATTGGTTAAAAAATAATGCAATGCAATTACTATGTTTTCTTAAAAAAGTGAAAAATGTTGCACAAAAAGTGGGTCACACAGACCTTGCTATTTTTCTAATCGCTGATTGGCTAAATAACAATAAATATGAAAGACGCCGACGCAATCAGGTTTTGCCGCCAATATTTTTGAACGGCAGGCTGGAGCCTGTCATGTGACAGACAACCAAATAAATAAGGAGCGTGAATGTATCCCATCAGTGAAACAAAAGAAAAGTCAACCAGATAACATCGCTGCCACGCTAAAGAAATTTAAGTTGATTATTATTACAGTATTTTTCCAATTCTTCACCAACAAGAAATTACTTTAAAAAAAAAGGTTTTCTGAAGCTACAAGTTTACCGAACATATTTTCAGCTTTTCAGGACATAATTCAAGAAACTCTTTCACTCAGTTCTATTTAACGAAATTTGTTCTTTGGTGAATATTTTCTTTTAGCGGCAAGATTTACTGTAATTATTTTCAGAGGTTCAAAAACTAAATTCTATTTAGTAACAAAGAGAAACTTCTTGAAACATCAAATAAATATTCAAGTTCCACTTTACCAAACACTATTCACAATATTCATATTACACAAAACATTTAAGTCATTTAACTAATTAACAATTAACATTTCTTCAAAAAACAAACTCTTTTTCATTGTGAGACCTGATAAAAAAATTCTTTCTTTCGAAGAACAGGTTTAAATTAATTAATTTCATAGTTAAGGGTAAGCAACTCTTATTTTTGCATTGTAAAATTTCTGTACCAAAAAAACAGTTTTGAAGGAACATTTTAAAGCATTTTAATTTGCTCAGTTAACATAACTGAACTTTGAAATTCAGCTTAGCTTAGCTAAATATTCTGAGCAGTTTATTCCTAATAATTGTATTATTCCTTTCTAAATATCTTGTTGTTTTACATTATTGT